GACCCGAGTTCATTCTCCTTACCAAAGGAGTCAGTTGTCACGGCCGTCCACCTCAAGCTGCGTGTTGACTTCACTAGCCGGGTGCTCACGGGCTCCGCCGACCTGACTGTGGAGCGTCGTGACCCGGCCGCTACGCACGTGGTGCTGGACACGCGCGACCTCACCATCACCGCCGTCACTGACGCCGCCACGGGCGCGCCGCTCTCCTGGACCGAGGGGGAGCCGCAGCCGGCGCTGGGTCGGCCGCTGCGCGTGCAGCTGCCCGCCGGCCAGTCGGTGCAGGTGTCGGTCGCCTACAGCACGCAGCCGTGCTGCACGGCGCTGGCCTGGCTGGAGCCGGAGCAGACGGCCGGCCGTGCCCACCCGTACGTTTTCTCGCAGTGCCAGGCGATCCACTGTCGCTCAATGGTGCCGGTGCAGGACACGCCGGCTGTCAAGTTCACCTACACGGCCGAGCTGACCGTGCCGGGGGAGCTCACCGCACTCATGTCCGGCCTGCGTGATGGCAGCGAAAAGTCGGGCGAGATGACCACGTTCCGCTTCCGCCAGCCCGTGCCTGTGCCGGCGTACTTAATAGCGATAGCTGTTGGCCAGTTGGAGTCACGGTCTCTTGGAGAGCGTTGCTCAGTGTGGTCTGAGCCAACGGTAGTGGACAAGGCCGCCAACGAGTTCGCCGAAACGGAGAAGATGCTGGAGACAGCAGAGTCCATCTGTGGGCCCTATGTATGGGGTGTCTATGACCTTCTAGTGCTTCCTCCTAGCTTCCCATACGGTGGCATGGAGAACCCATGTCTAACCTTTGTCACGCCCACCCTCCTCGCCGGAGATCGGTCACTAGCCGACGTCGTAGCCCACGAAATCACGCACAGCTGGACTGGAAACCTCGTCACCAATCGCAACTGGGAGCATTTTTGGCTCAATGAGGGCTTCACGACGTTCGTCGAGAGGAAGATCCAAGGTCGAATGCACGGGGAGCCCGCAAGACACATGTCTGCTGCCGGAGGATGGAAGGGGCTGAAGGAAGCCATTCGTACACGTGGCAAGGATGACCCACTGACGTGCTTGGTGCCGCGTCTGGAAGGCGTCGACCCTGATGACGCCTTCTCTTGTGTGCCGTATGAGAAGGGTCACTCGCTCTTATGGTACCTTGAGCAGCTGGTCGGCGGACCGGAGATGTTTGAGCCCTTCCTCAAGGCATACGTGGCGAAATACAAATTCACTACGCTTGACACTGAAGACTTCTGCTCATTTCTGTTCGAGTTCTTTTCGGACAAGGTGAAGGAGGGAGTGTTCTCCCAGGTGGACTGGAAGGCGTGGTTCAGCACTCCCGGCATGCCGTCTTACGAACCCACTTTCGACACATCGCTCACAGACGCGTGCAGCAAGTTGTGCCGTCGCTGGGTGGACTGGGATGACAGCCAGGAGGCGCCATTCACCAGTACCGATCTCGATGCACTATCATCGAACCAGATTGTCGAGTTCCTGGCTCAGCTGATGGAGGAGCCACCGCTGACTCTCACCAAGCTGAAGAAAATGGAGGAACTGTACGGGATGAACGCTCGCGGTAACGCTGAGATTCGTTTCCGCTGGCTGCGGCTGTGTATCGCCGGAAGGTGGATAGACCAGGTGCCGGCTGCACTCGAGATGGTCACCACTCAGGGCAGGATGAAGTTCGTCCGCCCTCTGTACCGTGATCTTTACGCCTGGGAGGATGTGCGTGAACGTACCATCGATACATACGAGAAAAATAAGCAGTACATGATGCACGTCTCGTCACACACTGTTGCCAAAGACCTCAAACTGATCGAGTGAACATATGACCTTAGAGTCTTAGACACTGCATCATTGTCCAGTGGCGATCTCTAGGCTATATCGTGATCCCTTGATCGGGGTGGGGCTAGGTTTTGGTTTTCTCTAACGCCTGTAAGCTCATCAAGATGTGGTTTGGTCATTGGTGTTGGCGTTTCTTGAGACTGGACAGGTCAATACACGATTTGTGGGAAGGGGAGCAGGTCTTGGTCATCGGTGACTCGTTGTGAAGGCCATTTTTACTGACATATCTTATATGAAGTGATCGAAGATCAAGATGACGGTTTCTGCAATAAAGCACTAGGTACGTAGGTACCTATCAGCGTGACGACCGGCACCACCAACTGCGTGCCCGATACACTTCACGACACAAAGTTATTCAGAAAGTAATATACGTTTAACGTTTGGATGTTTTGACGTGTTTTGGGGTGGTATTTCATTGGTTGCTGAATTTCTCGTCATTTCGTGCCAACATTTACGAAAACGCCGAGTCACTATGAAAGTAGGTACTCGTGAAGTGAAAAGGTGGAAAATATTAAATACCTAGATTCCTATAGATAGAAATGTCCTGGAAAATACGAGGCTGAGATCGGTCTGTTTGGACAAAATTTGGAGGGTAACCTGTTTACGGTATGGATATTGGATGATAAGGACGAAAGTCGACTGTTGAGTACTGTAGTACAGAAAGTGTGTTCGGTAAGCTGGGGCCTTTTGAGGTTTGTTTTGTTGGGGTAGGCCCTTTCGGTCTGACAAGACCATTTCCGAGCCGGAAGGATGCTAGGAATTGGGGGGAGACATTGGTATGGGCATGTAACCTATAGACTAAAGTGAGTCACCGGGGCTGAGTCCGTCCCAGACTCCCAAAGGACAGGCCGACCAGCCCCCAAGTACTCACCGCTCTCTGCTACGGGTGTCCTCCCTTGGGAGCAGCGGTACCGCTCCAGCTCCAAGCAGGGGCGGATCCAGGAAAACTCCAAGGGGAGGGTCATGAATCGAAGTGGTGCCCCTACCTATACCCAAAATTAAAAACTCAACGGATTTCGTCCACTTCATTTTGGTGGTGCCCCCATTTTCAGTTTTTTATTTTTATTTTTTATTTTAAGTCAGTATCTTACCTCTTGGCCACAACCACATTTACCAATTGTAAGCAAGTATATATGAATGTGCTATGTGTATATATGTTGTGGACGCTGAATAATGAGTACTTACCCGGAACGTTATCAGGTAAGCAAATCGTTGTCAGTCCGACGAACTTGACCCTGGCGTCTAAAGGGTCTGTCCTTGACACTTCAGGCTTGTCAGGGGCACCAAAGTCCTTCCAGGGACACCACAAACCTGTCAGGGGCACCTACGGCCTTGTAGGGGCGCCACAGGCCCGCCAGGGGCACCACAGGCCTGCCAGGAAGCAGGGGCACCACAGGTCTAGCAAGTATACACGACAGGCCTGTCAGGGGCATAACGGGCCTGTTGGGCCCATGAGCACCCCTAGGGGCAGGGGCACCACAGTCCTTCCAGGGGCACCGCAGGCCTGTGAGGGGCACCAGCGGCCTAGCAGGGGCACCAGTCAACACAGGCCTGCCAGGGGCACCACAGACCTGCCAGGGGCACCAGAGGCCTGCCAGGAGCACCACCGACCTCGCAGGGGTAACTTGGGCCTGTCAGGGCCCAGGGGCACCACGGGCCTGTCGAGAGGTACTTCAGGCTTTTCAGGGGCACCATAGTCCTCTCAGGGCGCAGGGGTAGCAGGGGCACCAGAGGCCTGCCAGGGGCACTACAGGCCTAGCAAGGGCACCACTGGTCTATCAGGGGCACCACGAGCCTGTCATAGCCAGGCATCTCAGGTCAAGGCCCAGGGGCACCACAGGTCTGTGAGGGGCACCAGCGACCTAGCAGGGGCACCAGTCAACACAGGTCTGCCAGGGGCGCCAAAGACCTGCCAGGGACACCACAGACCTGCCAGGGGCACCAGAGGCCTGCCAGGGGCACCACCGGCCTCGCAGGGGCACCTTGGGCCTGTCAGGGGCACGACGGGCCTGCCGAGGGGCACTTCAGACTTTTCAGGGGCACCAGTCCTCTCCGGGCGCAGGGGCACCAGAGGCCTGCCAGGGGCACCAGCGGCCTAGCAAGGGCACCAGAGGCCTGCCAGGGGCACCAGCGGCCTAGCAAGGGCACCAGAGGCCTGCCAGGGGCACCACAGGCCTAACAAGGGCACCACGGGCCTGTCAGGGGCACCTCAGGCTTGTCAGGGCCCAGGGACACCACAGTCCTTCCAAGGGCACCGCAAGCCTGTCAGGGGCACCAGAGGCCTGCCAGGGGCACCACAGGCCTAGCAAGGGCACCTCTGGCCTGTCAGGGGCACCTCAGGCTTGTCAGGGCCCAGGGGCACCACAGTCCTTCCAGGGGCATTGCAAGCCTGTCAGGGGCACCAGAGGCCTAGCAAGGGCACCACAGGCCTGCCAGGGGCACCACCGGCCTTGCAGGGGCGCCTCAGGCCTGTCAGGGGCACCACGTGCCTGCCGGGGACACTTCAGGCTTGTCAGGGGCGTTACAGTCCTGTCAGGGCCCAGGGGCACCAGGCCCGTGGTGTCCCTGCTAGGCCTGTGGTGCCCCTGGCGGTCCTGTGGTGCCCCTGTCAGGACTGTGATACCCCTGATAGGCCGGTGATGCCCCTGGAAGGTCTTTGGGCCCCCGGGCCTCAAGGGGGGGGGCCATGACCCATGTGACCCCCCCCCCCCTTGGATCCGCCCCTGGCTCCAAGGGAGCCGCCCGCATCAGGTAAAGTTGCCTGTCCAGCCCGGACTGAGAGTTGCGGAGTGGAGGAGAGGGGTTTGAACGTCCTGAGGATGGAAACGACGGACTGGGTGACCGTTTGAGGAAAAAGGCTGGCTTCATAAATACTTAGGCATGGGTGTTATCGTTAGGAATGCTGAATTAGTTTGTGGTTTTTAGCAGCTTTTTAGGGTCTGTAGTTCGTTTACATCGCTGTGCCTTGACCCATGGCCTCGTGATATATATTTATTTACAAAACATTTAAAAGCAGCTTGTTGAGTAATTTTAACCAAAAAGGCTTCAATTTCTGTGAATTTTGATACAGTTTATAAAACTTGCTCTTAATTATAGCTAAAAATAGGAATAAATTAGGGAAAATTTACAAGTCACGTGACAAGAGGTCCATCCCAAATGAATAGTTTGAGGTGAAATTCGCTACGGCTTGGGCCAGAGTGTGCGGCGTTTATTATGATGTTATCAAGTGTTATATAATTAAAACCAAATAATTGTGGAAATGTGCGCTGTCATTTAGCAGGCATCCTAGCATACGATTTTTTAGTTCCGAGCTAGTCAACACTGTGTAAAGGCAACACTTGTAATATTACATTTATTGTAATGGACAAGGCTCGTCAGTTTGTACACAAAAACTTGGTTATGATAGTAGGCATACCATCTTTGATTGGACTTCATATGGGATGGACCTGGATTCAAAATCAAGATATGTTTGTGCCAAAGGAGCAGAGGAAGGATCTGCCTCTCATCATTGTAAGGATTACGTAGGCTTAACGATTTCATATCATGCGACCTTGTTTGTTGTTCATAGCGTTCAGAGCTAGCTCCCCCGTGCACTGTGTTATTTTTAACCTGCTCTTCTTTTTCTTATCATATAATTATATGTTCATTTGTAACAAAATATGCACACCTAATAAGCTTTAAGTATCTTGCATTATACTGACCAAGCTCAATATGCTATTTGTAATGCTACCACTGTATTTGTTTCAGGGAGCTAAGAACATTGAACAGGCTGTTTTGGAGAAAGTTGACTCCATGAGGAAAGAATAGGCCTGCTGTATTGGGTGATGCATAAGTGAATATGGTAAGGTTTTAGTATTATGTGACTAGGTACATTTATATTAATAGGTTCTTTTGCATTGGTGTTGTTGGTTTTATACCTAGCCTAGTTGATGATTCTAGAGATAAAAATAAATTAATTTATTTGATCTAAAGGTACCTACCATGGCAAACATATTGGTAGATGTGTAACTGTGTTGTGTTAAGCATAGCCTGTCCCGTAGCTCAGTTGGTAGAGCATTGGACTCCCGGTGGTGAGAGCCCGGGTTCGAGACGCTCCGGCGCTCGATATTTGAGACTCCTGACGGGGATGGTCTGCGGTTGGTGGGAGCAGCCGCAGTCAGTTGAAGTCAGTTGAGTGGGACAGGCCGTGTCCGGCTTTGAAGGGCACGTTAAACTTTGGCATCCAAATTCTCCCGTTACCCGGAATTGCGCGATCGGACGGTAGGGGTCGGGGTCTACGCAACAAGCTCTGCTTAGCGTGGGCTCCGGCTCTGTCAATCCGTCCATTCAAACATTCGAACTAAATTTATAAAAAAAAAAAATAGCCAGCATCAGTTTAAGTTTTCTTTTGAGTCTCTTTTGTTAGTCTGTCTTTAAATCAGACTTTACTTAAATCAGGTCAAATTAGGTCAAATATTTTAGATTTAGATGTTAAAGCTTAAATAAATTTTAAGAAGAGTTTCAAGCAATAGCACCTTAAAGGAAAAGGGCCACCTTCGTGAAATATGAAGATATCGTTGTTTTTCATTTTGACATTATTATTTTTCATTTTCTTTTTAAAACTGGTGCCAGAAGTGCACAATTCGCGAAAAAGTATTTAAAACTATTTAACATATTGGTACTATGTTGATACTCTCTACGGCACCTACTGTATGATGGCATAGCGATGACGTCACACTCAAGCCAATCAGCGTTCAGAAGACAGACTCGTCGGATTGTGTCAGATAAGCTGATTGGTTAAAGCTGAGCTGGTTGGAGCTGATTGGTAAAAAACCAAAGCCTCGCCGCGGGTGGCTGTATTGTCGGATAAGAACGCATTCCTGGGATAAGCACGCATTCCTGGCGTATTTTCTTTTAAAATTGCCGATAACTACGAATGGAGGCCGAAATCGGCCGTAAGGAGGTAGACAGTTAGGTTTTCGGACACGGGCTACAAGATGGCTATCTCAGTTTCAATCCCCATGTTAAAGGTGGCCCTTTTCCTTTAAACTGCTTCAATATTATCTTTTTAGTTTGTCTTCTTTCCATTGAGGTTATGTAACATGCCTTAGGATATAGAATATCAAATGTGTTGTTGACACTTACCTACAGCTGGCTATATTATATATATATATATATATATATATATATATATATATATATATATATATATGTTTCATTAAATATGACAGCATATCTGGCATTGATTTCTTTCTTCGTCAAATATTTGATAAATGCCTATTCAAGTTTGCATTAAAATTAGCTGGCGGTACTATTGTGGTTTTCATAATAGAAGTGTGTAGGCATAATAAATCAGTAAGTGATTTTTATCATGCCATTTTATCATTTTTATGTTCATTTCCATGATGTCATCATGACATTTTTATCATGTTCTTTTTAACTTCAATTATCAATTTCATTCCAATAATCTGATCAACCATGTAACTTGTGGCATTCTCCATAACTTCAATGTGCATGGAATTAGTAGTAGCTTTCAAAGTTAGGCCAACCCTATTGCTAGTGAGACTGCAATAGCTGTGCAAGCATTTACTGATGTACAGTGATGTTGACTGTAGTGCTGTCCCAATAATCATAATTGATGCTAAGATGTCTAGCACATTGTAAGAGAAATGCTGGGCATATAACAGTTATAGCTAGCTAAGCATGCTGTGCAGCCGTTGACCAGACTCTGCTTCTTTCACAGAGTGGAGTGACCCGTGAGCAAGTGGCGCCCAGGCCAGTGTCCTGTGTTTCCCTGAATGATGTGGAAGTGGTGGCCGGTTTCTCGTCGCTGGAGTCGCTGCTGCGGCGCGGTCTGGGCGGCGGTGGCGGCTCGGCGGTCAGCTCGGAGACGGGTCTGCTGACAGTGACGGCCAGCTCGGAGCGGCTGCTGGCCGCGCTGCCGGCGCCGCGGCCGCCCCTGGCGCTGCTCACCGCCGCCGTCCGGCACCAGACCGACGTCTGGAAGGACGGCGGACTGGCGACCGGTGCCCTGCTGGCCGGCCTGCTGGCGCGGCTGCTGCGGGCCAGCGGCCCGCGGCACCGGGTGCGTGCCGCGCTGCGGGAGGTGGCTGCGGAGTGCCGCCGGCTGGCCGCCGCCCAGCAGCTGCGGCTGCAGCTGGAGGTGCCGCAGCTGCTGGCCGTGGTCGACACCGTGCTGCGCTCCAAGCGTCTGCTGGCACTGACGGCCGCCGAGCGGCGCCACCTGTCGCTCCAGCTGCTGCGCGCCTTCCTGCTGGTGGTGCCCGCCGAGCCGGTCGGCGACCGCGCCGCGCTCGGCCACGTGCACGTGCAGCTAGTACCGAGCGGTGAGCTGCTGGACTCGGCGCCCGTGCCGGCGCTGCTGGTCCCCGAGCCGGCTCTGGACGACTACCCTCCTGCCGCGGGGCGCGGCCGGCGCCGCTGCCTGCTGTTCACACCACACCTGGGCGAGCACGGCGAGGAGGCGCTGGATGGAATGGAGATGAGCCTTTCCGCCGAGATGTCCACCCGACCTCTGTCTGCTGAGCGCTGGCAGGCGGCGCTGATGCGGCTACCGCTGCGCTCCGGAGACGTAATCGCATGTCAGCGCACAGTTCCTTTATCACTTCGTCGAGCGCTGGCCGGTCGTGGCGTCACTGTACTGGAGCGTCTGGGTTCCCGGGGCGCCTCTCTGCTGACACGCCTGAGCGGCGCCCGTCCATTAGCCGGCGTCAGTCTTCTGTCGGAGGTGGCCGCCGAACTTTCCGCCGAAGACGGAGGACCTGCCGAGCTGGTGGGCCGTCTGCACGCGGTGGTCGTTCGGACGCTGGGCGGCCGGCCGTACGCGGAGCTGCGCCGCGCTGACTCGCCCGTGGTGACCCTGCTGGTGCACTGTGCCCACCCGGAGCCGCTCAGGGACGAACTGGAGGTAAGGGTCGACGGGACTCAGCTGGGTAGGGCGGAGGTTATGCGGCGTTTAGTAAACCTGTAAATGAACCTGTATTTAAACCCATTGAAAATGTAAAAACAAAATATTTAACTGTTTTTTTTTTTCAAACAGTTACAGTATTACACACGGTGATCTACGTCAAGCGTTTTTATTTACTGACATATTTATCTGTATCGCTTACAATGCCCGAGTTTTCGAGCAGCTGTGTACGAGTATGCCAGCTTTGTTCACCGACTGAGCTTTGAGTGCTCCAATCCTGGTTGTGCGTCTGTTTGCAGAGGCAGCTGGAGTCGGCTCTGTTCGCCCTCTGCTGTCTACTTGGTGAGCCCGCGGTGGTGCCCGGCGGCGGCTGTCTGGAGGTGGTGCTGCTCGGCCAACTCGCTCAGCTCGTAAGTATCCAAATCGTCCACTAATATCAATATCGCATTAGTATTTGATGGTCTGCAAACTGTGTCGTGGAGCTTGACTCACGAGTTCAAATTTTCCCCCTTTTTTACTCATTGGCGTAGCTGCTTTTAAAGATACTGAGCTTAGTGGACCAGTGCAGCTACTGAGAAACAGTCTTCTGAGAGCTGGTTTACGACAATCAGTCATCCAGGGAATCATTATTATACAGTCTACAACGCCTTAAGATGAGTTTGGCGAAAGTGACGCCACATTTATTAATCCTTCTAAGTGTATATTTGATCACGTTGATGTTTTCTCTAGCTAGTGAACAAACTTATAAGCAAACAAAAAAAATCCGTAAAAGTGTCGTCACTATGTTCGCTTGTGACTTGTGATGACACATGCAGGAAGATGCAAAACCAAATGAAAATAATTTTCAATGGTGACAATTTTATTTTAACGAGTATGCGAAGTGCGGATTAGATTGTGTAAATAGCAAATAATGCGAACACTGGCCGGTTGTATGAAGCAAACATTGTGCCGGTGCGGCTGCATTAGCCAATAGTTACGAACGATCGGTACCAACCATCGGAAACGAACAACGCATACCTGTTCTGCAGAACAGAACATTGCTGCGCTCGTCCTTAGCCCCGGGCAGGGGTGGCCTTCTCTTCCCAGCCTGCCAGCATATGGACCATGGTGCAGGCGTAGGCAGCCTGCTCAGTGAAGCACTCGTCGAAGCTGTCCACGCTGCTCGCAGCACCGCTGCTGTCACAGGTGTCGATGATGGCGGCGAGCGCGGCGTGCATCATGTCCGGACCCTCCGCCTCGACGGCCAGGGTCTGCAGCGCGGCCACGTCCACTCCACCGGCGCCGTCCTCCGTGCCCATGGTGGTGTGCCAGCAGCTGGCCGCGCCCAGCATCATCTCTGGAACGTTGGCGAACGCCTCGTCCAGAGGTCCGTACAGCTCCTCCGCGCGGGCCAGCGTCTCGTTGAGCTGCTCCAGGGAGACGGACGGCTTGGCTCGTGTCGTCGTGCAGCGACGGCCCCTGCGCGTTTGCCGGCAGGTGCGCTTGGTGGCCGTTCCAAGGAATTCCTCGATATTCTCCATACTGGGCATCTGCATTTTGGACATGATGTCGGCGTTGCGCCGGCGTCGGCGTCCGGTGCTCGTCGCTGTCTCGTCCAGGCGATCTCTCATCAGTGTGGACACCTCCTCGGCGGCACAGGCAGTCTGGGCCATCACGGCTCGCGCCGGCGGCTGCAGGGCCTTCAGACACTTGCCATGCTTGAGGCGCATGATGAGGCCGACTGTGGGCGACACGGTGTCCGCGACCGACAGCGAGCATTCCAGCTTGGTCAGCTTACCGATGCAGGCCAGCTGGAACTGGAGACGTTGCGCGCCTTGGGTGATCACCTCCGGTGTGTACAAGAAGCAGACATCCACCAGACTCTTCAGCTTCGTCTTGAACTCGTCGTCGGCGGTCATGTCGTCGATGATGGCCTCCAGCGAGGTCTGGTTGAGTGCTCCGTCCTCTCCGGTGAGCTCGAGGTCCCGCAGGATGCACTGCCGCGCCATCAGCATGCCGTTGTTGACAGCGCGCTGCTTGATGACGTCCAGGAGGCTGCGCCCGCGGCGGCCGGCCCGGTTGCCTCGTCGCCGGTTGGGACGTGCCAGCGGCCTCCGGACGGCCGTCTGGTACGCCTGCCCGACGCAGCGCTGCACGGCGCTCTGAACGGCCTCGGAGACCTGCACGCCCTCGGGCACGCAGCCGACGTCGGTCGCCTGGCCCAGCAGCGCGTTGATGTCGACGCTGCGGAAGTCGATGTTGAACTCAGGCACTTCAGGCAGCTGCAGACCGAGCTGGTCGGCCAGCGTCTGCGTGAGCGGAGAGCCCAGAATTCGCTTCAGCTGGGCCGTCTCATCCTCGGCGATTTCTGTGGGTGGAGTTTTGTTAGAGCCGTCACTGAGAACGGGAAGTGGAAAGGAGTCCGCTGTCAGATCTAGGTCAGCCATGGTAAATGTTCCACAATGCGTCCGAAAATGTGAGATAGTATTAGGTTTTCCTGACACATCAAAGAAACTTTATTTTTAGTGTGAAACAGGTCGCTTGAAATGGTTAATATAAGGAAACATCTGTGCAGACATGAGGAAACAGCAGAATGGTTAGCATCATATAAGGAAATGAAATGCAAAGGCTTTCTTAGCCCTGCATGTGCCAGCGATTTAAGACAGAACAGAAAAGTTTGTGCCTGTCTATTCCTGCTTTCTACTTAATCTGCAAAAATCCGTCTACTTCATCTGCAAAAACATCTGCAATGGATGTCAATATGGGTTATTGGTGTCTTTTCTCATATCTATTCATAACGTCAGCTAATATTTTAGGAATCATTCCTTATCGTTATACAATTTAGTCTTTGTCTACTTCAGACAAGGATTTGCAGAGGCTGAGCACCATCCTTCATTACTAATGTGTCTGCTAACATGCGTGAAACACGTATGGCTTGATAAAACCCACTGGAGATCGTACCGGCTCGCGGTGCGGCTCGGTCGCCCCTACTCACTGATGGCGGAGGTGGCGGCAGCCAGCAGGGCCAGCAGCAGAACTGGGACGCGCTCCATGGTGTGGCCGACACCAGTCTGCTGAGCGCCCCTGGCTGGCGCTCTGCCCTTTTATAGGCCTGCGCGGGCCCGTATCCGGTCACATTGGGTCGCCAGCAGAGGGCGTGCCGCGGGGGTGGGCCGAGCGCCGGTCCATCAAATGGCATCCCGGTTTGTCATGACATGACTGTATTTTATAGGCTTTGTCAATTGCAGTGGTGGGCAATGAGTAGGTATAATTTCGGAATGCGTATAGCAGGGCACATTCTCCAGTCCTGCGCTTCCGTCAAAGTAAAGTACTTTGAATGTGCATTTGTACACATGACCACCGACCACTCCATTTCGAGACAGGAAGTGCTTCAAAGACAGCAACCGGCAAGCGAATTCAAATGTTTCGCGACAAAGTGTCCGAATGGCTTTGCTGCTGTTCATGTCATGGAAACAAAGTGTGGACTCCATGTGCCCCGTGCTAGCTGAAGAAATAACTCTTAGCCTGCAATGTAGGGCTGTTGCTATTGCTCGCCGGCCATGAAATCATGTTCGGCTGAGTTCGTGGGTCGCCTTTTCCGGCGGGCGGAAACACCGAACAGCGGAAGCGTGCCGCTCAGGTGGAACCCGCCGCTCGGTCATGATGATTGGCGCGACCCGATCCCGAACAGCGGCGATTGCTTCCACGCAATTGAGCTCAATTGGGACTCTGCATTATGAGTGACCTCAGTTCGGGATATTGGACGGTCGGTGGAGTCAAGGAGGCTTCCATCTAAGCTAGAAGAGAACAAGGGAGCCTGGCGAATGTGTGCTTCCTACTTCGTTCTTGTTTGCAATATCATTCCACGTTAACGTTCTATTGCCAAAGTCATTTTACGACATGGGACAGAGTATGTCCGGATGTCTGGATAACGTATGACGACAGCTGGTATAAAGAAGGACCGTAGCCTTTCAGGTGTGTCTGGATTTGCAGCTGCTGTGCAGGTCATCTATTTTTTTCAACGTTGTTACTTAGCTATCAATTTTCAACCGAGCTGGTCGACGCTACTGTAATCTCCGGCAAACTCTTCAGCAGCTAGCAGATTTTGACTAGCCGAAGTATGTACAAATAAGAAGGAAATCATTCACCGGGCCATGCTGTATTTATGGCTAATTTTGGCTAACTACGTAGCTTATCCCTCTGCTACTCTATTCTCGCTGTCATTGCGCTAGCATTCCAGAGGCGTCAGCATGACCAAATGAATCGCGAAATTGGAAACGAGCTATTAAAGTGGTCAACGATTTGGAACATTTCCCGTGCACGCCCAATTGCAACGAGCTTGACATTGCAACCGGGTCCGGTTATGCGCCATGAGACATGTGGCGCGTGGGCTAACCCTCACTGTGAAAACAGCATACCGACGTTTCCAGTATGGAAAGCTCGTAATATTCAAGACAGACTAAGCATACAGATTGCTTAGACCACGTCGGACTAAGCAATCGTTGGTGGCAACCGGCATTTCGCTGTTGCGAACGGCTAGTCAAAAATAATTTGGCTGTCAGAAGCTTTTCATCCCGTCCCTGCCCTCGCTAACACCCCACATCCCTCCCATTCCAGGCCGCTGGCCAGGACCGCGTCACCCGCGCCGTCACGGACGCCCTCTGCGACACGCTGCGACAGAACGCGCTGGCCATCGCCGGCAGTCCGCTCCTCTACCGGGACGACTCGTACGGCCACGGCTGGCGGACCGAGCCAGAGACCTCCTCAGCTGCCGATCACAGCTGTGTGTGCGGCCTGGTGAGCGGAGCAGACCTCCGCGGCCGGCTGCAGTTCAGTGAGCTCACACCGTCCTACCTGTGTGAGGGTACCGCCGGCCCGCCGGTGGCAACACCCGCCCCGCTCGACCCAGCTGAGATCTCTGAGGAGTGTCTAGTCGACTGTGGAAGGGTCCGGCTAGGTGTGATGGCCTCAGCGCTAGAGGCCTGCCACGCCATCCTCGGTATCGGGACCTGTGTGATTGAGAAAACGTGAGCCGCCAACGGGTCGAATGTGTGATGTGTGAAAAAGCCTGCCTGTAGTCTGCACGTATGATTTGTGGTCTGCTTAGTGATATGATTTATTGTCTTAGTCCGTGATATTGGCTAATAAATTATTATTCGCCTCTTGATTACATTTTAAGCAGCGATGTGCCAAACTCGTGAGTTGTGCCAAGATCGGCTTCCCTGGTTTGATGCGGAGGCCGCTGAGCCAGAATCTTTTCTAGTTTCGTCATCTGTCGACACACACTCTGATATTGACCTGTTCGGGCCTCCTCAGTCAAAGACGGCAGTCCTGGATAGCGCGTCTATTGCACCAATGACCGTCGGGCGGTGCGGCAAGTACCGTGAGCAGTTAGGCCACAGCAGAGACAGACCCAGAGCACTGGGACACACACCGAGGCGGGTCAGCGGGGTTAATGGCGTCGCGCGGCCGCCGGGGCCGGCTACACAGACGGGCCACGGCTGAGAGAACACTCCCGCGGCGGGCCGCCGGCACACGGCACGCACCCACACCGCCGACAGCCGGCGCGGTACCCACCCCCTTCCCCAGCCACCCAAGCAGCTACAGCCACTTCACTAGCTTTATCAGACCTTCAGACTGCCGCGGACCAAGCTTTGGCTTCAAAGTTTCAAATATTGCGGATGACTAACTCGTGACTGCTTATACCATCACATATCTGCACAAGCCCAAGCGAAGCAATCGGACGCGTTGCAAAAGCCTCAAAGAAAAGTCAGATCTCACGTTATCCAAATAGCACGTACACTGGCTGTAGATGCCTAATTCGTCGCGGACACAACCCGGGTATTGCCATGCGAGGAAGGGCGTGACAGCGGCTCCCTTCACTGTCATGTTTACAAGAATTGTCTCCGATGGCGCTGCGCGGAACACGGCGGCGGCGGAAGACGATTGGCACGTGCGAACCCTTGCCCAAACAGAAACCCTCACACCCACGCACACACATATAGAGAGACATGGATCACTGTAGCGACTAGGTCAATCACAGGGGGAGGACAGCGACGGTGGGAGGGGGGGGGGGGAGACTAGGGGAGGTGAATTCCCCACACCAGGGAGTGCAGAGGTGCACCAACGCGTGCCAAGCGGCGCTGCAGGTCAGGATAAGGTCACACAGGTTACGAAAATCTACACAGGTCACTCCCGGTGCCGCGCGCTGGCCAACAGAGATTCAGCGGTGGAAGAGAACTGGATAAGTTACGGGAGGAGCGCGCGTTAAGTACGTTATATCACATCAGGTTAGGGGGTAACCAGCTGAGCTGTTTCACTATGCCGGCCACACGCGTCACTGCCAACAGGCAAAACAGCCCTCGGTTCAAGGCATACACGCAGGTCAATGGCCTAAACAAGCCCAGCATGCATGCTCGATTAAATGATTGCCCACTCATCACAGACTACTCATGGTAGGGGAGAGTGGGGAAAGATGCCCAGGGTTTTACTATGTCATATATTATTCGAAAATGACGATCGGAAAGCAAAAACTTGGAGTTTCAACGGAAGCCGACATCATTTTTATCCAAAAATATCACACTTTCGTGCCTGAAATATGATAACTTTCTTTTGCTATTAAGCATTTTCCTGAAGAAGTGAAAGGGGGCATCTTACCCCACAGGGTGGGAAAGACGCCCCCTAGCGATGGGGAAGATGCCCCCTGCACTATAAGTGGCATAAATGGGCACGTGAATCGCCTGAACGAACCAGTAGTCCCTTCGAGACTGCAGTAGACACCAAACGTCATCGTAAGGGCCCTCACAAGTAGTCGTAAGGGGCTTCAGAGGTCATCGTTAGGGCCATCATAGTCCAGCGCGGCCAAACAAGCCTCCGTGGTGGCGTTCGGAGACCACTGTGGGGCCCTTATAGGTCTTCATGATGCTTGAGGGCCCTCGAGCCCATCGTGGGAACCTCAAATGCCAGCGCGGCCCGTAGAGCCAACGTCGGAGCCCTCAAAGGATGTCGTGAGGGGCCCTGGAGCCAATAATGGGGCCCACAGAGGCCGTCGTGAGGGCTCTCAGAGTCAGATGCCGCCCAAAAAGTCGCTGTGTGTGCCGAGAGACCGGCATGGGGAGCACCCGACCGTACTGGACTCTCAATAGTCCCAGATCGGCTTTTGTCTCTCATCACAAGTATGTAATAAATGATTTGACGGGCTGCTTGAAGAACAGCCTACGGATTTAGGGGGGCGTCTTTCCCCATCAAGACAGGGGGCATCTTACCCCAAGGTACCGAAGCAACATTAAATCAGTACAGTTTGTTAGCCATAAAACTACACCCTGAAACAAACTGTTCGGGACACAGTACACGCATGTTAATGTATCACGACTATAGCAAGGGACTCAAAAATTATTTACCTTCTTTGATATTTACAATGTTTTGACACCAAAATATTTTTTGAAAGCAGCAAATAAAAAACATGCAATCACCAGCCAGCCGTTGCCCAACTGAGCTTCGCAAATTTTTGTGCAGCTAACAAGGTAGGCTTCCGCTTTACGCTAAGAACATTAATTTCCAGGTTCGATTCTTTGTTTCGCCGGTAGAGGGGGTGGGGCGTCTTTCCCACCCTGGGCATCTTACCCCACTCTCCCCTATTTTTGGCAGCTCGCAGCTTAAACTGACGTTTCAGCTTTCCAGAGATCAAACAGGCATGTGCTTTGGACGATCAGTAAGTCGGGCTCAGACATTTTACTATGGTTTAGCCATGTTGCAGCAAGTCATGGCTCGGCAAAAGCGAGGGACTCTGACGCTGACATTGGGAAATATGCATGAGGAAGAAAGGGCAACTATTGCACTACGAAGCGGATGAGCAATTACTTTCCAAACGCCTAACTGGGCCGGGGCCCGATACTATAAAAGCTCACACATGAACCACATCCAGATAATGGCACATACCCCGGGCATACATTGACACGCTTTGGTTATAACCGCCCAAGCAGCAGAGCTCCTACCCACCCCGGGGGCACGTTCGCCCCGCCCCTCGCACAACCTATCGGCCAAATATCTCAGCTGAGGTTCAAACAAAGCCACGCGACGGCGCTCGCATCATACGGCCCTTCAAGATCATAGAAGTATATAAAAGTCTCACGAACACAAGCGTAGCACATTATTATCGTCGGCGAAAACCATGATCATGGGGAAGATTGAAGTCTAGTCGGCCCTCCGCTGACCGGCAGACAGATTGCTTTGGCCGATCACCCAGCCGTGGATGGTGCCTATCGGGTCATGTTCCTCTGCCGCTTGTCTTCCATGGTTTGCAGGTATTCACTGAAAGAAAACGTGTAAGGTGAAAAACTGCGAAACGTTTTCAGATATTTGAAGAAATCATTTGGGAACGGTTTCACAAAGCAGAGAACATGCAAGTGACCATTCGCGTCATAATTAAGTGATATACAACATACTGACAGGAGCGGGAAAATAAAACTGATTGAGAAAGGAAGCATGTTAAAAATAACTACCATCTTCATTATTCGCGAAACCTATCGATTCGACCACCAGCCGTGCGTAGGTCAGCTTCAAATCGATATGACGGGCACTCGACATGATACACGAACCCAGCCAACTAAGATATACTCGGTGGCCCCATTCTCTGACGCCCCCTCGGTCTGCTGCCGACATCTCCGACTGCTTACTCCCCCGACTTCCCCACCTCTGTCGGTACTTACAGCTCCATCGTATGTACGGTACTCTCGGGGCATATGGTCTCCACCCGTACATGGCACTGTTTGTGCACCTTGGCCTGGCAGTTGCGGCACTCGTAGGCCTGCTTTCCGAGCCAGCGCGGCAGGGACTTCTCACAGACGGAGCAGAGCGCGCTGCGGTGGACAGTGAGGAAGATCAGTGGGCGGAACATACAGTGACAGACATAACTGAACTAACAGCGGGTCACGGTGGCCAGCGCGGCAGGGACTTCTCACAGACAGAGCAGAGCGCGCTGTGACAGACAGCGAGGGAGATTTATTCAGTGGACGGACAACACAGTCTGACAGACATAACTGAACTAACAGCGGGTCACGGTGGCCAGCGCGGCAGAGACTTCTCGCAGACCGAGCACAGCGCGCTGTGGCAGACGAATGGAGGTCAGTGGACGGAACACAGTGACAGACATGTCTGAATGCACAGGTCACAGTGCCCAGCGCGGCAGACTTCTGACGGAGCAGACGGAGCAGAGCGCGCTGTGATAGACGAATGGAGGTCAGTTATGGACCACGCAGTGACAGACACAGGCAACACGGCGCAACTGAACTGGCCGCATAGCACAACATCAATTTTCAGAGCAATTAGAGCGGCCGCCTTAGCTATATGACACGGCGAATCTAAGCCCAGCTATTTCGCAGTAAACAACTGAAAACTCCCTGTTCACAGCCCAACAGTATAAAACTGGGGCAGTTGCTACTTGCTAACCCTTCCCGGACTGACTCGACTACTAAGACTGAGCCCAGCCAGGCGGCGATCAACTTACCTCGGCAGGTGACGCGCGACAAACACGTGCTCGTTGAAGACGTGCAGCTTGGTGCCCTTCTTCCGCAACTTGCCCCGCTTGGCCAGGTTGTTCGGAACCAGATAATGCCTGTGTGCAGAAGGCAAATGTCTGGTATCAAGCACGTCAAGAACGAGAATATTATGTACGCAACGGTTTGACGTAGCGTATGCTATGAGTACATATTTGGGATGCAGACTTAAAGAAAGACATCCGACATCGACCTTTGAAGTTCCGATTAAACTTGATTCTCGTAAAAAAAAAATCAGTCAATTGTCTATTGTTTGGTGGCGGGGTACGAACAAAATGCAAGTACAGAGCAGCAATAAAATTGGAAGGATGGCACGAGTAATAAGAGGTAAGGTCGGAAAATTTACGTCTTTAGCCCAAGATGCATGAAGGACTGCATGGGCGAAACGATACAGCGCGGTTCGAGACACGACTCACTTGAGCACGCCGTTTTCGGTCGTCTCCAGCACCAGCGAGGACTGGTCGTTGACGTAGGTTCGGTTCGAGGCGTTACTGATGCCCGACATATCACTGAGGCTGGAGTCGTCCGGTCCGCCCGGCCGGCCGCCTGGTGCAGAGGCACGCAGAAGGACACGTCAGGTCACAGGTCAGATGACGCGGTGATAAATGGGTGGTGACGTAGGTCAGTTCATAGCTTCAAACATGGTAAGTCACTAACTTACTGACATGAAGAGAAGATCTTGGTGACGTGACAAGCTACGACTGGCTCTACCGTTCGATCAACATGAAAATGCATCGCAATGAGGCACTGACATACGTTCTCTAGTCCAAAAGTCAAGCCATCTTTTCATAACTACACAAGCGACAAAACTTATCCTCAACCGTACAACAGAATAGCCATAGCAGTTGCTCCTCACTGGTAAGTACTGAGTACAAGCACCAGCTCCCCTTGGTATCCCTTGGTATGCAGTATGCAGATGACACACAAATTTTAGTCAGTGGTAAAAAGGCGGAATTCAATCTTGTTGTTAGCAGGCTGGAACAAGTGTTGGAATCTCTGGGGTCATGGTTCCGAGCTAACGGGCTCAAACTTAATTCTGAGAAAACTCAATTAATTTTGTTAGGTAGCCCACAGAATTTGCGAAACATTTCCAGCTATGTTGTAAAATTTAATAATTGTAATTTGACTCCTGTTTCCGAAGCGAGGAATCTTGGAGTTCATTTTGACTGCGCCCTTAGCTGGGACACTCATGTTTCTGTTGTTGTGCACCGTTGTTTCGGAATTCTTACCGGATTGTCGCAACTGAGGGGCCATTTACCGCCATCTACCATTTCTATTCTAGTGGATGCCTTAGTTTTATCTCATATCCGCTACTGTTTATCCGTTTATGGTAATACCACAAACAAAAATCTTCTTCGGATTCAGAAAGTGATCAATTATGCCGCCAAAGTCATTTTCCGTCGCAAGAAATTTGACCATGTGTCCGATCTGCTTCAACGTTTGGGTTGGTTGAAAGCTAATGAGCTCGTCCAGTACCACACTATGTGCATGGTTCATAGAGTACGTCGCGCAGGCGAACCTGAAGCACTGGCTGAAAATCTCATTAAAAGCTCAGAGACCCGTGACCGCAATACTAGACAAAACAACACATTGTACGTACCAATGTCACATACAGAGATGGGACGAAGGCGTTTCTGCTGTCGTGCACCTCGCCAGTATAATGCGCTGCCACATGATCTGACGTTACGCTCGACGCCAGCTTTCCGGAGTCACTTAGTAAGCCACCTATGTGACAGTCGCACCGTGACTGGGCAAGAGTGACGTGGTCCGATGTCCGAACTATTAGAGCAATGACTATCGAGCGATTGTTGTTAAATGTGGATGATTCGTCTCGTGTGTGTATAAGATGTGCTATTTTTTACAGCAACCTAGGCGTGGTTTATGATAGGGCAGGAAATGCTGTGTACATATGTTGCATGCTTTGTACTACATAACTGAGACTGTAATAGCCCCGAGTACATCGAGGATTGTCTCATTAAATACATTACATTACATTACATTACATATCCCACGGAGGGTGTACCTCATAGCCACCCTCTTCCCTCCCCTCGTATCTCCAGAGGGCACAACTCACTGAGACAGGGGTGCGACCGGCGGTCTCCGGCTGCGGCCGTTGCGACTGGGGGACCGGTGCCGCCACCGCCGCCTGTTAAAGACACGGCACCGGTCGAAGCTCGATGTTAGTGCGGGGTGTGAGAGTAGCGAGGGGGTTAGCGAGGAGTAAGTGGGGGATAGCGAGGGGGTAAGAAGGGTGCCGCCAGCGGTATTAACTAGCTGCTGCAGTTGTTAGCATGATTGGGGTTTGAGAATACTGTGGGTCTCGGTACAAGCAATTCAAGAATTAGCAGATCAGGGATAGGAAAAGCCACAGATAATAGTAGCAAAAACCAATAGATAGGCAAATAAGCTGTGTTAGATAAGCATCCAAATGTGATAGGTATGCACGAGTGCTGAGTGTTAAATGGTCATTGAGTTTGGTGCGAGAGTGCCAGGCAAATTACAACTGAGCGTGTCAAGCAAATTACAACTTCAGCAGGGTAACATAACACACCGTCTCAATGTTATCAGCTATTCATGTTTTATGTGGACGCTCAGGAACGAGGAGTCGAGTTCGGGTTCACATCCTACCAAACACACTGAAAAGAGTATAAAAGACTGTGAATTTCAACAGTGCCGGGTGTCAAAGCGTGCATTTAGTGTCTCACCCTAGCTCCAACAGTCCTGCCAAGCTCCATGTCCGCCCCCTGCCAACCCCCGTGCACCCGCTCCCCAAAAGCCCTCCCCTCCCCCGGTCGAGGTCACTGACCGGGCACGGGCACGGTCAGGTAGTGGCCTCTGTCCAGGCTGGCGCTGCGGCCCGGCTCGTCCTCCCAGTCCTGCCTCGCGCCAGGCTCGGTGGACTGACTGCGAGACTTGCTGCCGCCCAGCCGGCGGCGTAGCGTGCCGAACAGGGAGCGTTTCTTGGAGCGCCGCCGGCCGCGCGCGCCCTCGTCACCTGACAGGGCACGGGACGTCAGTCAGTCAATGAACTAGTGGTGTGTGTGTTCGTGCGTATGCATACACACACACCTAAAGTCGGCAGCATGTAAGATGTGCGGTACAGTCCATGGGAATACCTACAAGACGAATGGGTCCTTACTCCTTTTATGAAAAATTGTATGTAGCCATGAATGGACTGCGTGCACTGTGCAGTATTTTGCCGCAGAACCATGTCGAAGAGCGGCTGTGTGTGCCCACCCACCTGATGCCGACTGCGCGCCCCCGCGGGCCGCGTCCTGTCCCTCGGAGCCGGGGTCGGACAGCTGTATCGAGTCGTCCAGGTTATCCTGCTGGAAAGCCAGTAGCGGTCAGATATGAAAGGAACAGGCGGGGTGTTATGACAAGGGAACAAATGAGACTGAAAAACAACATAGGAGTGAAAACGGGTAGGCGAGTACGGTCCGATGAGACCGGGCACATTTTACTGACCGGGCGAGACACAAACTTGCGACGACGGGATCTATGGCAACTTAAGACAACAATAACTTTAACATTTATGCAACAAAATCCGATCATCCTGCATAATAGCATAAAAACATAAAAGCGCATAGAAGAACAGTGACTACCAAGTTCTCTATTCGACATAGGATACATCAAAATTACGGAGCATCCTAGCCCTCCACCATGGCTTCGAGAACCCAATCAACGAGCCAAGTTACCAAAGCTCTCCACTGGTAGTCCCAGGAACCAGCCGTGGCTCAGAGTCCGGAAGGGGGCGTGCCGGACGAGCGGTAAGTGCTGTGACCGCCAGGACCCGTGGCAGTCAGGCAGGGCCAGCGACAGATAAAGATCCACCGGCCCCCGCAGTGCGACTCTCACAGTGTGAAGAAGGCGAGCGACAATTCCCACCATCCGTGAGGTGCTAAGCGGAGACGTTCGTAGAAAGTGCCGATAACGGTACAGTACCGAGTAACCGAAAAGAAACCCGGAAAATAGTAGAGTGCGATAAAGAACAGAACCGTTGCGAAGCGTGCCTCCGTCAACCTTGGCGAGGCGTGCTGTTCGCCGCAAACATAATACACCCATCCATAGAAGCAACACCAAAGGAAAAGAAAGGCGCGCAGAAGTCCTCTAAACAAGCATACACCCGAGCAGAGGACTCCGGTGGAACCAGACCAGAGGCATCCAGCCGGGGTCGCATCTCGCCCTACACCGATCAGCGGGCCCACCGAGACATCAGAGCGTGCAGAACAGGCGGTCCGCTGAAACCCGAGGCCCGGAGAATGTGACAGCCAGTGGTGACATTCACCGTACCAACCTTCTGAGGCACTTCCACCCACAGGCCCGAGCTAGTCTGCTGAACCTAGGAAAAAAGGGGCCGAGTTGAAGCAATGCGATAGCTTTGTCAGCTGGCAGGGCCCAGCAGGATCCAAAATCGAAATAAAATTGAAATTAAATAAAAATATGGTCAGAGCATCAAAGCTAGCAAAGATGGGAGCCACACAAAGTGGGACGAAATAAAATTGTTTGATGAGTAATAAGCCCCATTACGCTCAAGCCATTGCCCAACAGAACGGTGGCCAAATTAGACGATAGAGCCCACCTCACGACACAGCTGTTTCAGCGTTACCATACCAAGGCACGAGCCAAGCCGATCAATATTTACCATCGCCGCGCCATTGTCTAGACACTGCTGGCATCTATAAAATTACGACGGCCACCTGCACACTATTCCACTTCATATCCATCCATGGGCCTCAAAAGTGTCTGGCACTCGCGCCTGTACTTACAACCCAGTTAGCGAGGGGCACTACAGTTACCCATGAGGTCCTTAGGGGAAGGCAGGGTAGCATAGGGAGGGTGTTCGCTATAACAGGGGAGGGTCAGCTTTTGACGAGGCGCTTCAAAACTCACCTTCACAGTTGGCAGGGCAATCGGCTCCTGGCGAAGGTGGGAGCGATTGGTTAGTACGAACGCATCACACACAGACGAATATACGAGAGAGAGAGAGAGAGAGAGAGAGAGAGAGAGAGAGAGAGAGAGAGAGAGAGAGAGAGAGCTGGTTACACGGCGCTTGCAATGCTCTGCCGTGTCAAAGCGGCCGGGGTTGGCCACCGTAACTAATAAATGTCATCGATTCACTTAGCACGGTGACGGACATTTACATAGCGATGGTTATTTGCAAAAATTTAGCATCATCATTCATCAAGGCCATATGTAAATCGACGAATTCACAACAGCCAGGCATATGCATTCAGCGATCGCAAGCTATTCTCAGATATGCAGTTCAATATTATGGAACAATGTTAGCAGCGCCAATGTCACACGCAGCAGCCGCGCTGGCTTTACGTACAGACGCGTTTGTAACTCACAAATTCACATGCGACGGACACTGAGAAAATCAGCCATGATCCTCGTACCTCATCTTAAACGGTCTGATCAGTCGCAGACAGGATTTGCCACCGGTCGTTGACATCGGGAGGTCGTCAGTCTGACCAACTAAAGGTAAAATCCGCACAGCGAGGCGGATATACCTCACAACCCACGACGGCTGTCAGGGTGCAGATCATAGCCACCCAGATCCTACCTTTTTGGAGCTGTGGATGATGAGGGTGCTCTTTTTGGCATTGGGCCGCGCCTTCAGGTCCATGTCCTTCAGCGCCATGCTCTTCACAAAGTTGCCGTCATCCACGTCTGTGGAATAAGTAAAGTTACTGCAAGAGCGCTTAAATAGGAGAATGAAATGTGCAACGCTAGTTCAGCTCGCTGAAGGCTAATGAGTCCAGTGTTGACACATCCAATCGGCGTCGAAACACATTGCCTTTTGCTGAGACGTCTGCTCTTACTCTTGAATGCTGTTCTACCTTACCATCGGGGCCTGTGTAGATGACGTGTCACTTAAGCCGTATGTATGTGATGTCACGTACCCTCGGGTCGTATGCAAGTTATATTCTAACATCTACCCTAGTTAGTCGGATCGAGTGTAAGTGACGTTACTCACCCTCGGGTCGCGTGTAGGTGGTACGCGTCGTCTGCAGAATCTCTCCCGAGTGCAGGAGCCGCTCCGAGGTGTGGGTGACGCGGTGTGGCAGTCCCCCCTCCTCCACCGGTGCGCCGTGCTCGTCCACAAACAGAAACTGGAACAAACACACCGGCAAACAACCAACGGTCTGGTCAACAAGCAAGTACCATTGGACACATAAACAAAGATGGAGCACAATAAATAGATGGAAATTGAGAAATGATATAGACGGAATCTAATGGATCCAAGAGTTTCGATAGCTTTAATGCGTTAAAATGAATTATGAGGGTTACGAAGTTGCATTTAGCTCGCTCACAATCACACAGTTGTCTTACCTCGACGGTGAGCGATCCGGAGACGGGGTCCTGCTCGTAGGGCCTGGAGAGCAGCGGTATGATCTGGCGCTGACTGGGATTCACCAGCAGCTCCTCGATGCCCACTATGCCCAGGCCGAGGAAGTTGGTGTCGCGCGCCTTCTGCTTGTCGAACACCTCGAACAGCAGCTCACTTGTGTTGGGAGATAGGTCGCTGAGGGCAGGTCATCGGACACAGTCAGCGAATGAGGAGCCGGGTCAGATACAGATCACTGCGGGCAGGTCATCGGACAGTCACTGCGGGCAGGCCATCAGACATCATGGACATTGGACAGTCAGCGACTCGGAAGACACTGCAGGCAGGTGAGCAGACACAGTGACTGAAGGAGGAGGCTGGTCATTGCAGGTATGCCTCTGAGCACGGTATGACAATCAGGATTACTGAAATTCACAGCGCGCACTTTACCAAAATCGTTTACCGTTACTTGGTCTTTATTGTTGGTCTATAACAATTCGACCACCGCTTATTAGCAGACAAAAGGGATCACCATTTAATGGTCTTCGGAATAGATATTTCATAATGCCGATCATCTATTGATTGTTTATCATTGTTTCATTTCGGTAATAGGTACGGATAAAATCGGCTGTATTGAACGGCCTGTTATTCACATTTTGCAAGGCAATCGCTATTATTAGGCTGCAAATACTACTCGTATAGACATGTGACCAGATTTTTACTTGATTAATGACTAATGACTGTCAGACCACCGCCTCCCTCGCCCCGTGCCAGAGCTGAGCTGTATTTGTGTGTGACAGCCACCGGCAGGCGGAAGCAGCGACACAGGTGTTGTGCGGCGCCGGCCTCGCTCAGACGCCGGTGTTTGTTTTCGACAGCGGACTGGCTGGCAGCGGGCGCCGGTCGGACCCGCCGCACCTGGCCCTCCCGGCACGGTGTGCCGCCCAGCGGCCGGCCGGCGCCGGTGGGTGCGGCCCGGCCGACAGACCGGCCGGCCGGCCGACTGGCTGGCTGGCTGCCCTAGGTCGAGGAAGGTCCGACTAACTACAAGGCCATTTGCATGATTGCTATTAAAAGGCACTATTCTTAAAGTACTTTTTATAAGCGAAAAATACCCACAGCCCATTTCTACCTTGCAGAATCGCAGCTTCTAATTTGAAATCGTATAAATCATTTGACGAAAAAGGTCCAGGAGCTACAAACCACAAGCTTGCTAATTACACATGATTATGAAATTCCAAGTCTTATGAAGACTACCAGGAGTGGCACCGGTTTGGGGTCAACATAAATATTCTAAGCGCAATGACAGCTGCAGCACAGCCTCTGTGGTAACGTGTCTACTCACAACACGAATGCCTCATCCCAGAACGGATGGTCGGTGTCCAGTCGCGTCTCGGTCTGGAACTTTTGCGGCGGCTCGTCCATTTCAATTTCGCAGTACGGTTCCTTGCAGCCTGAAACATGACACGCAGTCCCGGTCACACATAGTAAAAGGGTCCGGTTCCACTGATCTTCGCACCCTTCTTGGAGAGGATCGGCGTGCCTGACGCGAGGTGCTGAACTTTCCCCAATATATTGAGCACTGTACTGGCTGAAAACGGGATTTTTTTTTTCAAATAAATTTGTCTTCGCACATTCGGTGTAGACTGTCAAGCGTTGCATGCAGAGCATCGATAGTACATAAATGTAATTAGTAGTACATGAGACATGAACTCGTTTAGTTCATACGCAAGAACAATAAAAATATGCGCCGTGACTTGCTCTTGAAAACGGGAGCATATAAAAAGTAGATGTCATATGCAAAATTTCCAGCGAACATTGATCAAGGTTCAAAGATAACTACACCAAAAAGCAGCTTTCCCGCGAAAGAGCAGCGAACATCTAAGAAAACTGCCGCGGGTAGCAACAACCCCATTCCCAGTGCGGGCGCGAGTTAACGTAAACCGGGAGCACCACACAGCGATAAACATTTGACGGGCCGACATACCATTCCGACCACGACATATGTAGGTGGGAGAGACATTCCATACACGATGCGTCAATAAAATTATGCGCCGCTATTTACGGGAAAATGCAGTAGGTGACGCCGCTCTTGTAGGTAGGCATAGGTATTCGTCAAAATGGTACGCCTAAAGAATTCAACCCTGCCCTCGTAACCCCAAAACGAATGATCGCAAAAGTTCCCAAGAGCCAGACAACATTTTCGAGCGCACGTGAAGCGTTGAATGGCTCCCATCTGTTGTCTGCATCTCTGACTAACGTCCTGAACTTCTAACAAGGCCGTCCATCCCGCCGGGTCATAACTCAGCGGCTCGGAGCAGCGCGTTAGCGCGCCGCTGCCAACACCCCCTCCCCCTGGTGCCGGAGGTGGTGCGGAAAGATCGATGTCAGAAGGCGCCCCACACGGCAGTCTCAACACCGCAGCACGCTGAATGACCCGGTAACATACAATGAATAACGAGCATCATTTCATTCTGAGCACAATGTGTGAGGACTGATTTATCAGCGAAGACAAACGCTAAATATCTAGCTTGTATCCGTGCTAGCCAAGTATCACGTTTGGGATAAGATAGGCGGCATCCTTAGGATGCCACAATCATCCAAAGCAAAAATATACATCAGGGTAACAAACCAGATATGATTTACTACCAACACCCTGAGACAAGACGTTACTCAAGTTGACGCTATCCACTTTATAGCTTCCTTTATGTTATACACACGCCCGTAACGTCTAACTTTATCGTTAAATAGCGCTACTAAACTGCAGTGGAGCTCTCCGTTGGCGCCCACACCGCAGGTATCGTTGTTGGCGTCCTCACAGGGCGGCTGGCATCAGAGAGGTACCCGGACTAGCAGCGGCTCCAGGCGGTCGATCACAAGGCGCCTGTACCGCCGCCCCCGCCCCCGCCGCGGCGCCCTGCCGCCACCCCGCCACCGCCCCCGCCCCGTCGCCGCCCTGCCACCGTCCGTCGAAGGCAGCCAGCCAAGATCAGCAGCTGGGCGGCGGTGGGTGGGATGGTGTCCCACACGCCGTCCGTCCCTGCTCGTCCCACCCTGACCCGGCCGGACCGAGAGAGGCCGAGGATAGGAGGGACAAGTGTCAGGAACGGCCGAGTCTGACAGACGGCACGCTGCCATCAGCGATTTATCATAGAAAAAGGCCTGTCACCAACGACAGGGGTTAGTGATGTATGGTGGGTCGCGGATGTGGGTGTAAGGCCAGTTTGTCTTTCACCGTGTCCTGATATTGGCGGTTGGCACCAGTGCCAACGGTTTGATAAAAAAGTAAAAATAGAATATGAATCAATTAAAAGAAAGTGGCATGGCTATGTGCTTAGAATCATTAATCTTCTCCAGACCATTAGCAATCATCAAAGTGATATTCGATGTCAAAAGTCTGCAGTAAAGTCTTGATATGCGTTCCATAGCACTTTCCAAAACCCATCGGTTGGAAAAAGAGTCACTTCCGTGAAATCCATCACCTCTCGTCACTCTGCCAGACCAATTCAATGGGCAGAAACGCTTCCGTGTAGCACTGTCCTCACCTTTGCTGGCACCGAGTCCGGCCGCTTTCACAACCTTGACCAGAAGTCGCCGCGTCATCCGCTCGCCGCCATTGGCTTCAGGTCGGTCCCGGGACTGAGGAGGAAGCCATAACCGTCAGACGGTGAATTGGAAATAGAATAACGTTAGCAGAGAGACGAAAATAAGCGGTGCGACTTTAGTAAGAGAAAAAGTGAACAAAGTTTGGTCCGTTAGTGGAACCGAAAAACAACATTTGTTTTTGTTTGAGAAGAAGACTTCGGAATCCAACCCTTTTATCCTCCAAAATAGCTTCACTCTGAATTAGTTTTGAAAACACCACGTCATAGCATCTATCCTGAAAAACACGGAACAAATAGTGCATGGACGCGTTTCGATTGTTAAATATTTATCAGCATGACATGATCCATAGACCTCTACATACGGTATGTAGAGGTATATGCCATGATCACAAAGAAAACGTGATTATGTCATGCTGATGAAGATTTAACAATCGAAACGCGTCCATGCACTATTTGTTCCGTGCTTTTCAACTTGTCTCTATCAATATACAAGCATCTATCCTATCGTACTCGTATAATGCATTGATGCCCTTTCGATAGCATCATGGCGATTTCTTTTAATTGTTTCATTTCCTTTCTGGCATCTACATAAGGAAGATGGGGTCATAATGTCATTAGCATTTTCCCGGGGAGGCACCACTATACATTCCCTATTGGCGACAGAGACTGGATCCCGTCTGACCCGGCCGCCCGGCGGGGCGGGGACGGGGGCGGGGGCGGGGGCGGAGCTGGCAGCACGCCCGCCCGTTCGGCGGCCGGCCAGCCCGACTGATCGGCAGGCAGGCCGGCCGGCGCGGCGGTCTGCTGCCGGGCGCTGGGTCAACCTGCCTCACAGAGGCCGGTTCAACTGAGCGGTACTACCGGCTAGCTAGCAGTAACGGCGCGGGGGCAGGTCTCTGCCCATAGAGCACGGTTCAGCTGAAGAGCCGCTATCGGCGAGAAGAAAACTGGCGGCCCAGAGAGCATAGTTCAACTTAGCAGCAGCCGCCGGTGCCAGAAAACATAAAGACGTGACCACTGCTGACACAGGCCGGGCTGGCGAACGTACTGATCCAAGACATTGCCGATGTTAAACCTGTGCACGGTCTTAAATGAAACTGGAATTACTGGGTAGGCTGCTGGTTCTGCCCGCTACCGAATGGTTCCGGACTGCGGAATGCAAACCCTGCAGGCTGCATAGTGCAGACTCCGCACTGCAGAGGTCTGTAGCTACTGAATCAGACCGCTAGGAACGCGGCGGCACGGCGTTTTTACCACCGGGAGCCCGGCCAGAGTTGCAGGCTGACACTGCCGCAGCGAGGGAGAAATAACCCGACTCGAGATTTGGAAGTAGGACCTCGGACCAGAATCATAAGCTGAGTACAAGTTGCAGTGGCACCGAACCGAACTAAGGCCAAAGCTGGGACCGGAGGTCGAGTCTCCAACTTTGCTCCACTGCCTTTATCTCTCTCCCCCCCCCCCCCCAAGGTGTCGGTGTATTGCATTATAACGACTCTGTTCCAGACTCAGGTCAGACACGCCTTGGTGACTCATTCCGGTCGCCGTTCGAACACGCTGACATCAGGCCCGACTGGCAGCACCACTGCTTACGTCACCCATGACGTCATCGCTGTCGGTTCGGTGGCCGCACCTAGCCGTGTCAGGCAGACCTGGACTGGCTCCATACCGCTCTCTGGTCATGTCTCACCGCCAGCACATGGTCAGCAAATCTCAAAGCCAGAGGGTAACTAAAGCAAAAGTTATTTCTATAGAGAAATCTGTTTGAAAGCGCATTTGTTTTTGTAACACGACCAAGGCAGCCGCAGAGAAAGCGAAACATCTTGGGGTTAATCTTTTTCGACCCTTCCCTCCCACCTCCGTGAGCTTAGAACAGGATTTGTCGCTAGTTTCTAAAAACAGGAGTTCCGCTGATGCGACGGGCCGGCTCTAATCTCCCGCTTTTAAACAGAGGAGCTCAGCGGAGTTGCAGCTCAGCCTGCGACGCCACTAGTCCGCAACAAATTTAGGCTAGTTGTTTTCTTCAACAGCAACGAGTCTACGTAGCATATCTATCGAAAGCAACACAATCCATTAATATCCATGGAAGGCGTGGCATTGGCAATTGCGACCTCTCTCACTCCATAGGCATACACCTGCTCGCACACTCTGCCACACACATTATCAGACTTACCAGACTGCGGACTCGTTCAGGCTCTTCGGTGCGGACGAACGGCGGAAAGTCGGCCTCCTGGCCAAAGTTGAGATCGACGACGGCGTCCCTCAGACATCCGGTGACCACCTCCCTGGCGCCCTCCTGTCGGATCTGCTCCTCGAGGGCTGAGCTCCGGCCGCTGTCACTGGTCGGCTCGAGGAGGAGTTGGACCTGGGGTACAGACAGCGGGTCGTCAGCAGCTGGAACAGTGGGCCGACAGCAGCTAGACCTGGGGTACAGATAGTGTGCCCGTCGGCTGCAGCTAGGGTACAGACAGTGTGTGCCGTCAGTCTGGTACAGTGTGCCGTAAAAAGCTGGTACAGTATGCCGTCAGCAGCTGGTAAAGAGTGCCGTCAGCAATTGGTCTAGTTTAACATTTGATTACCTTTGGTTGACCTTTGACCTGGCTCCAAAAAGACCAAAGTACTCATTTTTATTATGCATTGTTCATGATTGTAAAGCCTTTTGAACGCCGCCTACCGCGCGTCGTTACGTGCCGAGCTGGCGGAAGAGGGGAGGGGGGGGGGGGCGTAAAACCAGCACCATCGAACCAGCACGGCGCCACTCCACCGGCCCGTCGCTCCGGTCGGTCAGCTGAGGACCAAAACCCAGCACTCCGGCGCTCGCCACTACTTTTTAGTTGACTTCTTCTGATACTTAATGTAAGCAACGTAAGCAGAGTAGCACAAACATGCGTTGCTGATGTGCTTCTGCTCGACGGAATTTGAGCGAGCGTGACGGTTGTTTTACGGCTTTCAGTGCCGCTTACAATTGTCCTGGCTGTTCCGCTATTGCCGAACATCGCATCAGACGGGTGGAATGCCAAATCGTGGCGTTACATTTTGATACGGAAGACATCCCATCGGGCATTAAAAGAGATTCACGGACGTCGTGTAAGGGAGCTTTCCACTGATTTTTGTGTATCACTGTAGCTCACCCTGTCAGCAAACTACCTATGGTTCTGTGTTCCAATGCCAAAATTAGAAAATTGACCTCTCCTGACCTTTCAATGGTATGATCTTTGTTATCTACATACGTTCAGACAGACACGAAAAGGCACACTGACAGACAGACCAACTAAACACCACATTCTCACTCAGCCCCTCCCCCTCTCATAACTCACCTCTGGCCATCCGTCGAACTTGCCAATGGCCATGGCCTGGTGGGTCAGGGCGGCCACGTTGATTCGTCCGCGCAGCTTCTGCACGGTGGTGGCGTAGGTGGCCGAGCGTGTGCGGCCGTCCTGCTCGTAGGTGACGCGGGTGGTGAGCAGCGGACATGCCGAGGCATCCGCCGTGATCGTCTGCCCGCGAAACGACAACGCAAGTCGTGTTAGAGGACAAGATAGGGATATTGGCACACATAGAGCACGGTATAGGCTACCGTTGGCCAAAGTACTAATGATCTTCGTGACTGCATTATAGATTGGAACACTTGTTCAGTACTGTTAGATTGTTAGATTGTTAGATTGGAACACATGGAGCAAAACACGATCGGCGATAGTGCATGCAACCTAGCGTCGCAATTGTGAAAACGGCGATCAACTGCAACGGTGTTTAATGTTCAAACCCGTCAGTTCGTCCTGTTTACACTTTCTCGTGGATATGCACCCAATGTTAGTGGCTCATGGCATTACAGAGTGTGACTCGGTACCTTTGGTACATGCTATTCAAGATAGCGTTGCCCTGTCCCGGCAGGTAATAGGGATGCTCTGAGACACGGGAGGATGTATGTACGGCGTACTCGCAGAACATGCCAACGTACCGAAAGAGCAAAATAAAGGCCCTCATATTGTAGCATTCATCCTATACGCTGACAATGTCACACTTTGTGAGTGACATTTCACAATAAATAACCTTCAACGAAGTGGAAGGCTGCTAAGGATAGCGAGAGCTTTGATTGTTTTGGGGTTTTGCGATCGCTTCCTCCGTATAACACTCCACGTCATAACCTGCGGACACTGCGGACTCGCACTCGAATTCGACCCGGGACAAAGAGCATGAGATGATTGGTCAAGTGAAGCCCTACAGCTGTCAGAGAAGACCCTTCGCTGGCACGAGAGAGCTGACACCCATGTCCACTCGTCATTTATGTGTGTGTTCACATTGTGAGGCCGAGTTCACTGCTCACTCGCCGTGAAACCAACAGACTCGCTAGTCCGACTCGACTCACTGGGGCCGTGACCAATTACCACGATATTCTTCGGACACTCTAATATACATCACTGTAGTATCGGCAGGACCCTGCTCTACGCCAACTAACCATGCATTTCCGGCCGGGACCGTGCTATCCCAGGGGTGCTACATTCGGCGTCACTAGCCTTGCGTTCGGCATCCGGAAAATGAGGGATAGTTATCCGGGATCACCGGTACTTATTTGGTATTGCAGGGGCCATTGATGCAATTAGTCACATTTTTAGATTGATTTTGCTTTACGAATGGCTCTTTTACTCGTTGTCATGTCCATTGTGCACGATGTTAGCATAAAACACCGAATGATCCCGGTGATCCCGGAAAATTATCCCTGATTATCCGGATGCCGAACGCACGCCTCAGCATGGTGTCATCAGGGACATGTTCTGATATCCATCACTATGGTATCGGCGGGATCATGTCATCTCCATTGTGGGGCCGTGACGTTTGAGAACTCGGCCTCTCTGAGACTGTGTTCACTCATCCTGTTATCCCCGGGGTTCCTGACCCCACTGGTTGTCACTAGATCTGTTAACCCTCGCCCGTAAACGGTGTTTTGCCACCTTCGCCCATGCAGGGGGGGGGGGTTGGTGCGACCCCCCTGGCGTTTGAAAACGGAGCGTCGTAGAGCTTAGCGGAAAAGACCAACGGATTGCTCTCAACGAGATCTCGCGAATGGTGGTATATTTTTGGTCCTAGGTCAACATTTGACCTACTTATGACCGGTCAAAGGTCAAATTTTCGGAAAAAATCTAGCTTTTTTCAGATTTCCGCGCCGATTGCGGCAAAACGGTGAGAGATATCGACTTGAAACCTTCACTATCGTGATCCTTGATCAATTCTCTATCGTTTGGTGTGTATTTCGATGTCATACCTCTAAAAATGATGCGTTGGGAGCATCGGAAGTCTGCAAGGTCATTTGTGCATTGGGTCACGTCAGGCGTGTGACGTCACTGACCTGACACTGACCCAAAATGAACTACAAGAAACAAGCGACGATGCCTGAAATGGATAGCAAATTCGAATTCAGGGCATCAAAATACCCCGAAAAGGCATACAAGTGCAAGAAGTCATTACAGGTCAACCGAGGTCACTGACCTTACCTTGACCTTAAGTAACCTTCAAAATGTCAACGGACATTGTGCCAATGTCAAATCAGCCAGTTGTGATTCTAAAACAATCCATCAGTGTGTCAGGTCAGTCGGCATTTATACCAATGTGAAGCAGTCTCCAATTTAGCGTAAATCTGGCCGGAGGTTGTTCCCTTTATGACGTCATAACTCCGTGACCTGACATGACCTTGACAAAAAAAAAATACCAAAAGTTGCGCAAAGGATGCCCCATAGAATACTGAAAACTTGAGCAGGCTATCTGAAACGGTTCGACGTGTAGCTAAGAAAAACCTCAGGGGGGTTGCACCCTCCCTTGCCCCCCCCCCCCCTACATGGGCGAGGGTTAACTTACCATGGTATCGTCAGGGCCGTGCTCCACCACCACGTTTGAGAACTCGGCCCGCTCCGTCTCCGGCCGAATGTTGACGAAGTGCAGATTGATCCCCGCCTGGAAGAGGGGCAGTCGATGTCATACACGTTAAAAACGATGACGGGATGTGCCTGTGGTGAAGTCAATGACATGACGAAGTGCCCGAACAAACACAGTAGATTCAACGTGTACAGCAGAAGCGTGATGACTGATTGTGTCACACAATGCCAAGCCGACCATCGTGTTTCTCTCGTCAAAATGCGTCAGGTGAACTATAATTTGACCTGAAAAGGTCAACTTAAAAAATCTTAACTCCGGTCAAGGTCATGGCCGGCCTGCAAACGTCATGTTGGATATCGATCGATCCACACTGGTAACCGGAACACTTTATCATATGATGCCAAATTGATGCATGACAAGGCACGCTCCACTAAGTTTCACCACGGCTTTCTTTACACACAGAAAAAAACTGCAGGGTGGCGAAAAACACCCTCCCCGGTCCCCTCCCCTCCCCTGCCCAGGGCGAAGGATGATTGAACTAGGCCCTCGTGGAAAAACGAGCATGCGCATCATTACGAGACTCAGTGACTGGTACCCAATTTTAACCCTCGCCCGTATTGGTGTTTTTCCAGCCGCGAACGTATAAGGGGGGGTCCGTTGGACCCCCTTGCCGTTTCGCCCCTGATCGAGCTAGAGCTTCGCGGAAAAACTGAGCGTGTTGCCCGTGATGAGAGGAAGCCGATGATACCCAATTTTAAGGTCCTAGGTCATTGGTTGACCTTCCAGGTCAGGTCAATGACCCAAAAGTCGGGAAAATCGGAAGCCGCCAGAACGTCGTAAAGGGTAGATGCTATGGGTTTTTCGTGGTGCTGATCACGAATATCATGTTAGTTTTGATATATGACAGGTAATGTCTTCATGCATTTAGGCCAGGTCGGGTCAGGTCAGGTCAGGTCAACCGGTAGAGGTCCTGCCGAGTATTTGTAGTAGGTGTCAACCGCCTCTGACAGCTTCGTGACATGTTACGAAGGCACCAAAACTACTTCGTAAATGTTCATATGGTTGCTAAATTCGAATTCAGCTCCAAAACGTTCGACCCTCCCCCCCCCCCCCTATACGGGCCCTAAGGTTTCAGAGCAATCGGTGGCCTATGAGGTCAGGTAAAGTGCCCTAAGGTACGGGTTCGGTTTTTGGTCAATAAATTTACCAAAAATTCCACAAAGCTGCGATTGAGGCATCATCGTGTTAGCCACGCTCAGGCGCGCCGAATGATATCCTTACTTCTTTATTTTGTTGCCGTCAACTTAGAATTAAGTGTTGACCTGAGGCCAAGGCCAGGTAAAAAAAAAAAACATCACGAATTTGGTCGAGGGACGTCATATTACATTTCATTCAATTCGGTAGGTCTTCCCGAGTCCACTGGTCGTTTTCCTACTTCCCAGCTCAACTTACCGCGCACCGACGGGGGTGGGGAATGGGGGAGGGGGATACGGGCAACTTCGCAAAATCTCGAAAACGACGTAATCTAGCGACAAGCGGTAAACCGCATTGGATAAATGCGGATAAACGCTACAATGTGTAAGAGGGTCATTTTCAGGTCAGGTCAAAATTGACGCCACAGGAGTCAAAATAGTTAAAATAGAGGCATTAGAGGTCCAAGGGAGTTCTTATGCTAATAACTTTTGAAATAATTAAGCTAGAGCAAAACTAGTAGCAACATCGAGATTCACTCGTCAAACTGCAACGAAATAAGCGTGTGTTGCTATCAAAAGGTCGTCAAGAGCTCACCTTAGTCACGTGTTTTTTAATGTCAAAATGCATATCATTCGAAGCGTCTTGACGAGCTGAACACAATGAGACCATGCGTGCAGCTGTACCTCCTTTCCGTAAGGTTATTGGCACACAAAATATCGTTTTGGTGACCATATCTCGGAATTTTGATATCGGCGACCTAAGGTCAGGGCAATTTTGCGCCTTCTCCATAAGTCATAGGAGAAAATAGACAGGCGCCTCTTTTAGATGAACGTCATTCTAAACACTCTTCAAAGTCTCAAACACCGAATTACAAGTTAACATGACAAACTGAACCGGAAAATGGCACCTGTGACCACTCTTTATGTCCCTGAGGTCATCTCAGGTCACCAATGCTAGCTGAGTCTTTCGCTTAGGGGAGAGTGGGGTAAGATGCCCAGGGTGGGAAAGACGCCCCACCCCCTCTAGCGGCGAAACAAAGAATCGAACCTGGAAATTAATGTTCTTAGCGTAAAGCGGAAGCCTGCCTTGTTAAGTGCACAAAAATTTGCGCAGCTCAGTTGGGCAACGGCTGGCTGATGATTGCATGTTTTTTATTTGCTGCTTTCAAAAAATATTTAGGTGTCAAAACATTGTAAATATCAAAGATGGTAGAATATTTTTGCGTCCCTTGCTATAGTCGTGATCAAGGGTCGTGATACATTAGCATGCGTGTACTGTGTCCCAAGCAGTTTGTTTCAGGGTGTTGTTTTATGGCTAACAAATTGTACTGATTTAATGTTACTTCGGTACCTTGGGGTAAGATGCCCCCTGTCCTGATGGGGAAAGACGCCCCCCTAAATCCGTGGGCTGGCCTTCAAGGAACCCGTCAAATCATTTATTACCTACATACTTGTGATGTAGACAAAAGCCGATCTGGGACAATTGAGAGTCCAGTACGGTCGGGTGCTCCCCATGCCGGTCTCTCGGCCCACACAGCGACTTCTTGGGCGGCATCTGACTCTGAGAGCCCTCACGACGGCCTCTGTGGGCCCCATTATTGGCTCCAGGGCCCCTCACGACATCCTTTAAGGGCTCCCACGTCGGCTCCACGGGCCGCGCTGGCATCTGAGGTCCCCACGATTGGCTCGAGGGCCCTCAAGCATCATGAAGACCTATAAGAGCCCCACAGTGGTCTCCGCACGCCACCACGGAGGCTTTTTTGGCCGCACTGAACTATGATGGCCCTAACGATGACCTCTGAAGCCCCTTACGACTACTTTTGAGGGCCCTTATGATGAAGTTTGGTGTCTTCTGCAGGCCCGAAGGGACTACTGATTCGTTCAGGCGATTCACGTGCCCATTTATGTCACTTATAGTGCAGGGGTCATCTTCCCCAACGCCAGGGGGCGTCTTTCCCACCCTGTGGGGTAAGATGCCCCCTTTCACTTCTTCAGGAAAATGCTTAGTAGCAAAAAAAAGTTATCATATTACAGGCACGAAAGTGTGATATTTTTGGAGAAAAATGATGTCGGCTTCCGTTGAAACTCCAAGTTTTTGCTTTCCCATCGTCATTTTCAAATAATATATGACATAGCTAAACCCTGGGCATCTTTCCCCACTCTCCCCTATGTCTTTTGACAGAGTGAAAGAGCGATGAAAATGCCTTAGATGCGTATAGCTCGACGATACGGATCGATTGATATGCAGCACGACCTTTTCCTGTCAGGTCATGACCTTGACCCTAGGTACAATTTTCAAGTTGACCTTTCAAGGTCAAATTATAGGCAGTTCATTCGACGGGTAAGGACGCAAGGAACACGGTTCGGGCAAAAGTAAAATCGTGAGTCTCTTGAGTCAAAAGTTATTGAAGAAAAACATTTTCGTAAAACGGCTATTCTTCAGTATTTGCCCTCTGGAGGCTAAACCGTTCACCTGAGGTCAAATCTGAGGACACATTCCGATAGATGTCTAAGAGGGCTATCGGATACGCTTTTCCTCGGCGCTTTAGCTCTATCCGTTCTCGAATTACGTGCCAGTGTTTCGAGAAATGTTGAAAAAGGCAAAATATTACCTTTGATGACCTCTGGTGACCTGACCTTTGGCCTGACCTAAAAATAGCAGGGGTGTCTTCCCCCTTATTTTGGACGTTCTTTCAAATGCAGCTTACCGCATGTCGCTACATGGCCCAGGAGCTGAGTTAGAGGGGTGTGTTTAAACACCCCCTCCCCCCAGCGGGTCGCATGCCGGGCTTCATAGGTTACTAGGCCCTATAAGTCTAATCTCCCTGTGAAAGCTCCCCTGGCACTGAGGGCATTGCTAAGATGCGACATTTTAGGACTGGGCAGAAGACTGTTGTAAATAACTAGGCCCTTTGCTGGTTCCAGTCGGGTCCTAACGAATTTGTTCTCCTTTAAAAATGTATACTCCGGCACCTGAAATCTCCTAGATTTCCAGTCTGTGTGATGAAAAACTGCTATTATTACGCCAAAAATATGCAATTTTAGCATTGAGAGAACACATTTTATCAGCTGTCACATTTAGTAGGCTAAAAACACGATTTTCCTGTTGAGTGTTCTAAAAGCTGGCTGGTTCTCCGGACATGTTTTATTCTCCGGGACCAGGACCAACATTCCTAATTCCAACAACAAATGTTTACTTATGATGTCATGGGCCAGTGACTTCACCCGACCTGAAAACACGAGTTAAGTCATAAGATCTACCTTGAATCATCGGTCAGGTATGACAACTTTCAAATCTCTCTCGCCAGCGCGTTCCGGACTATCGCGAAAAATGGGAGGGAGGGGCGTCGTCGGGGGGGGGGGGGGCGGGGCAACCACTTCCCACCCTTTCCACTGGCACAGCCTAAGCTTTAACCCTCGCCGGCACAGGCCATCTTGCGTCCTTCGACGGCGCAAGGGTACGACCCCCTAGTTGGAACGGCAGTTGGCGTTTGGCCCCTGATCGAGCTAGAGCTTCGCGGAAAAACGAGCGTGTTGCCCGTGACGAGAGGAAGCCGATGATACCCAATTTTAAGCTCCTAGGTCATCGGTTGACCTTCCAGGTCAGGTCAATGACCTAAAAGTCGGGAAAATCTGGACCTGTTAGAACGTCATTAAGTGTGGCTGCTATGGAGTTTTTCGGGGTGCTGATCACGAGTATGATGTTAGTTTTGATCACAGATGATGTCTTTATGCATTTAGGCCAGGTCGGGTCAGCTCAGGTCAGGTCAACCAGTACCTGCCGGGTATTCGTAGTACGTGTCACTGTCAACCGCCTCTGACAGCTTCGTAACATGTTACGAAGGCACCAAAAGTACCTCGTAAATTTTAAATGGTTGCTAAATT